GCGGTTTTTACAAGAAACATCCTACAGAAAAGTAAACCATGTACATTTATTGATGGTCTTCGTCATCGGATTTTTCAATATTCTTACAATGAGCGTTACATTTACATTCAGTACAACAAAATACATCCTCTGTTTTGCAAATGCACTTCTGTGTTGAACATGTTTTTTCTGTACGCAGTAAATTCATACACCCAAATGGTCTACTGGTTAGCGCTGTCGACTTTCAGTCTGAAGGTCCATGGTTCGAATCGCTGTGAACTTGAACTTTTTTTGCAACTCTTTTGTTTTTTTACTTCATTCTGGTTTTCCTTTTTCATAAAATATTTGAAGTCAAATAGGTTAGTGCGTTTAGGATAAACAGTCTCATTTTATTCAATTTTGTTGAAGAACTCAACTTTTGAAATATACTATTAATCAATGTGTTTCTACACTCCATTCGGTTTTCCTTCCACAAAAATATTGCAATCAGTTTCTGATTTTTGCCTAAGTACTTCGAAGATGAGATATTACGGTCGGCGTGGTTTGTGCTAGCGTACAGTATATTTAGTAAAATCGCAGCCAGGAAAGTAGTTGTTTTCTGTTGAATATACTGAGAAAGAATTGATAATTTCATCACATACCGAATGCGAATTCTCTATGTATTTCTTTATATGTAAATAAACAGGTGCGGAAAAGTATGACTTTCGGCATTTGTTAGGTAAACTACATTTTCGTCTAAACTCGACAATGCGAAGATCAATTATTGTTTAATTGATTGTTCTCAGATTCACAGAGGCTGTTCAAAAAACTGCTTAGGAACATGGTGATGGGTTCAGTTTTGACGAGTGGATATGGTCAATATCATGGAATATTAGTCTTCAAGTTCTGAATGGTTGGAGATGACATTTCGAGAATTACACAGATTAATATTAGCTTTGAGTATTCACACTCAGTTTTCATTCGTAGGTTACCCGATTTCATCTTCGAATTTTGTCCGCCCTATATCCTATTTTTATCTGGTGGCGCCTATGGTCCAAGGTCACCTGATATAGATCAGAATCAGAATCAGATAGACAAGAACGTTTATTTAATAGCTTCCATAGTGGGTTTTACAAGAACGTTTATTCAATGGCTTCCATATGTATGTATGTATGTATGTATGTATGTATGTATAAGCATTTTTTCATCAATCCCTATCTACAGCACCGCACTAATTATCGTTAATAAAGAATTCTCGAAACTAAATTCCGTAGCTGAACTTCGATTTCAATCTAGTTTCGTATCACCTTCTTCCTTTTTCTAGAAATATGGGTACAAAATACAAAATGAATGAATTTGGGTATGACATAGATTCATATAAAGAACATCCAATATCTTGTTTCTATAATCAAACTTTGAAAACTCCAACGTTTGTTGTAAAAAAAAATTGTAAAATTGTTTTATCCGTCATTCGGTTGCCCCCTTACGAGCAACCCTCAGAAGTCTTCGAAAGTCTTGTGCGAGCAAGGAATGACGGGGGCCTTACCTTTCAACGTGTGATTCCAAACACTTGTAACATGCCAAACACCTACTTCTCGAACCCTTCTCTCAACTGACTTCAAGGAATTGTAGTTTTTAAGAAAATACTTCAAATAAACACTTTCTTTTCCATATAGCAAAAAAGTTGGGTGACGTTCATATATTTCATATTGAAATGTGGTCATTCATCACTTCATATCACATATGAACGATCTTATTCTCGAGTGTACAAGAGCAATAGGAACATAAAAGCAGGTCGAACTGAAAGTATACGTAGAATCCCCACATGACGTGAGAGCAGGCAACACTGTGACCGGCGTTCGCTCTGCGCGTGGCTGGTAGGCCTCTCTGCAGTCTGTCATTTTACGGTTCTGCTGCATTACATTCTGATGAATTCCGATTCTGCCAATGTACGGTTTTGATTTTTTACGGTTCTGCTGACGTACAGTTCCTATATTTCACGATTCTGTCGATGTAAGGTTCTGAATTTTTACGATTCTGTTATTTTACGGATCTAACATTTTACTATTCTGCTGAATTACGGTTCTGATAGTTTACGATTCTATCACAATACAGTATATGACATTACAGTCTGATGAAGTACATTCTGTCATTGTACGTTCTGATATAATATGATTCTGATGGAATACGGTCTGTTGTATTACGAGTCTGTCGATGTACGGTTTTAGCATTTTACGATTCTTTCAATTTACAGTTCTGATATTTTGAGATTCTGTGAATATGCTGTTCTGATTTTTTGCTATTCTGTCAATGTACGGTTCTGACATTTTACTATTCTGTCGATAAACGGTCTGTTGTATTTCGATTCTGACAAAGTACGGTCTGCTAATGTGCGGTCTGTCATTCTGCGATTCTGACGAATTACGGTCTGTGTTGTTATGATTCTGACGAAATATCATTCCGCTGTGATGTTGGTTTGTTAGTTTTCGATTCTGTATATTTGCGGATCTGCGATATTGCTATTATAGAAAAATACACATCTGCGCATTTGCAATCTGTTATTGTCTGGTATGCTCATGTACAGTATACAAAATACGGTTTGAGGTATTGCGGTTCTGTGCATCTACAGTAGAGATAAATACGATTCCTATAAAATATTGTTCTGTTAAGTTACTGGTTTGAAAATGTATATTCTGATGGATTACGGATCTGCGATTTTACATTCTGGTGATTTGTGTGTTCCCGATTAATGCTTGTGGAATTCTTATATGTCCCAAGTAGATTTCAATCATCTTCATCCAAATCAGTTGGATTCGCTAACTACTGATAACATAAAAACGATACCTTAGGGATTCCGAAGAGCGACGTGAAACTATTATGTATGATTGTCAACAAACTATGCAAAATTCCATTTTTTTCTGGTCTTTAACACTATGAATTCAAAACACAACTGGAATACACTGGTAACAAACAACCAGGAATCGAACAACGAGAAACGGAAAGAAAACAACGAATAATAACACGAATAAATTACTAGAGAACACTGGATAACTCGAACAATGAAATACACAACAAATAGCACTAAATGAGAAAATAATTGGTCAACGACAATATAATTATTATTCAAAATCTGAAAGATTTTTCTTTCAAAGTTGTCACCTATCAAAGTTGAATCCTGCCATGTTGACAACGGAATCCTTCTTTCCGTCCACCAAAATAATCATCCGTTCTACCAACCTTGACTCTTAACGCCATCTATAAATAAATAGAGAACTACTCTTATCCCCTCCATAACGGGTCGTCACTTTTGCTCCAGAAACAATTGAAGAGTCGACCCACCAGTCCTTGTAGCCATCTTATATTCAACACTCAGATGCAGACAAGAAAACACTGCTTCTCAGCGTGATAACACTCGATAAGTGTGTTTTCACAACAGAAAAATATCCGAAAAATATTCACATATTATCATATTATCATCAGTGAAAGCAAAAACGCAACAGATACAGTGTCAAAATAATCACCAAATGATTGTACAGTCACCACTTTGGTGTTGAATAACACGAACCGATCAAATTAGCTCTAGATACTCTAGTGTAGATCTTGACTGTATGTAAGATTGAATTACATCCTATGACCTATGATGGTGTTAAAAATATCAGAGTTAATTCCCACTTAAATAATCAGGACCTCAGGGGACACCCAAGGGTGTTAGCTGGTGTGAACTGGTGTTATTTTTTTTCACTGTGTATCTTTGAATATCTGAATAAATTGAATAATTACGATTTCCCAGTTCAACTAAAACAAACTGGGTGGCGCCACCAGGAAATTTTCAGAGTTTCGAGAAAATTATTGAAGTCAACCTACCCTTTTTACCATCCCACATGAACTACCGTGCCTATAGCCATTCAAATTTGTATCTCCTCAATAATGTATAGATTTCACAAGAAAGTGGTTGCAAAGAATTAGAATTCGGAATCATCTGTTGTACAGGGTATCCCAATTTGGGCACTTTTGCGGGGTATCTCCCTTATCAGTAAAGATAGAGCATTGCGGTTTTCGCGACAGTGTGCTTCTTTTTTATGAGATTAATAATGGCGCAAGCAGAATTGTGATAGCTCTTCTGGTTGTCGAGATACAGGGTGGAATTGAAAAATATCACTTTTCAGGCACCCTCCGTGTCTCAGTTATCTTTGAACTCATCGAAGAAGTTAAAACTTGTTTTTATAGAGTTTTTCTCGTAGAATCCAGTGGCGTAGTTATTTTTTTGCTAGCACCTTTTGTTTTTTAGTTATGGAGCAAACATATGTTTTTTTGAATGGAACACCCTGTATATTATTTCATATATACATTGAGCATGAAGTGGGCTTTCCAAAAATATATAATTGTATGAAATTATTTTCCATTCAAAAAAAAATATGTTTGCTGCATAACTAAAAAACAGAAGGTGCTAGCAAAAAAATAACTACGCCACTGGATTCTACGAGAAAAACTCTATAAAAACAGGTTTTAACTTCTTCGATAAGTTCAAAGATAACTGTGACACGGGGGATGCCTGATAAGTGATATCTTTCAATTCCACCCTGTATCTCGACAACCGGAAGAGCTATCACAATTCTGCTTGCGCCATTATTAATTTCATAAAAAAGTAGCACACTGTCGCGAAAACCGCAATGCTCTATCTTTACTGATAAGGGAGATATCCCGCAAAAGTGCCCAAATTGGGATACCCTGTACACGTAATCAAACATAATCTGGACATTTTTGAAACTTCCTTATTTTGCATGTTTGATCTCATCACCATTACTTGTCCCATTCGAATTCAGTAAGGGTCTACCCAATAAACTCATCGAGATGAATTCATAGTTATAATTATTGTTATGATAAATGTCCTCATTAGCACAAAACGTTATGATTTTTCCTTCTCACCCTGTGTATATCTTGAAAAACATGAGAAGGCAATGAACTTGTACATCATATTATTATATCAAATGAAAATATAAGCTATCAAAAGCTAACGTTTTCTAACAATAATCTTATTCTAGCGTTGAATGAATACTGGTTGGATGGTATTTATGATTGGGAGCAAAAAATGTGGAAATGGGGTTCTACTGGCCAAAACATACAATTCAACAAGTTTTCCCGTAATAACATAGGAGACAAATACAAATGGAAATGTGTATCCCTACATGGTGCTAGAAATAAGTAAGTAAACTTTTTGACCATGAATAATTCATTGATTATTTAAAAGAATTCTTTTATCATCAGGTGGATGGCACGCAAATGTACCAAGAGAAAACGATTCATCTGTCAAACGGATAGCAACATTTTCGTTCAGTTTCAACATGTTGATGAGAAATACAAGGAATTCGATATCTCGAAATGTTCTGACAAGAATTTGAAGAAATTCGAACAGAAAAAGTGTCTAGAACTATTGGATAATCTAGAAAACAATGAACCTGCAGCTTATGGTGAGTGTTTATACAAGTCTAGTGAAACAATAATGTTATGCGCCTTATATGCTTTGTGGAAGCAATGCTCATGGGTAAGGACCCAATGGATTGGAAAAAATTGCAGGCTAGTGAATTTATCATTCCGGAAAGTGTGTATAATAACTGCATGGACAGCGAGCTGTGTTCAATAAGAAAACTATAGATCTCTGATACCGCAAAAGCTGATATTTGGTGTACCTATAGTTGAAATAATGGGTTGAACGAAAAAAACATCCAGCTTATCATTAAGTGAGAGCAAAGTGTCCATCAGCTGATGCGGTCAAAGATACGATGCGCCCTAGATATCCATTTGCAGCGTATTTCACTGCATCAAGTGCCCAGACTTTTCCCCCACCCAATGTGAAGCTGGATGTTTTCCTCGTTTATGTTATTGATTTAACTATTTGTTCATAAAATTTCAGCTTTTGCGGTATTAGTTCACTCAGCGCATATTTTTAACTTCTTCACGTAAGAAGCTGGAGCATAATCCCCCCGTGTAAGTTCGGCTGGATACGTTTTTTGATCTATTTGTATCATAATCAACATGTTAACAAAGTTTCAGCTTTTGTGGTATCAGTTTTATTTTATTATCATTTTACGTGTTTGGGACGCTGCTGCAACTACACCCTCCGGAAGTGCGCCAGCTGGAGGTCGATTTCCTTACTAGTTATGCCAAATAAAGGTCAGGGAGAATCCTCAGTTTTTGTGAAATGACTAACTCTAAACGTTTGCTGAATATTATCTATATTAAAATTCGGTTCAAAGAATCAACTTGAGCGTGATGAAGCATATCTTACCTTCTAAAATATCAAACTCGATCATTCATATATAATTCATAATGGGTGTCATATTGGATTTTTGCATTTTAGAAAAGTTTATTTTTCTAATTACAATGATATATCACACGATATGATCGAATCTTTCCTGTTGATCAAAATTGAGAAGAAAACATTTTTGTAGAGCGTGCTTTGAAAAGAACGCCAGTTTTGTTCAACAAGCTGAAATTCGACAGTTCATTTGAATTTGGATCTGGAACCTTCACATCTTCGTCGAGCTCATCTTCTTAGAAACTATGGTTATGGATTAGGAACGACGTAATGAGCTAGAAGTTTATTCTTCGCAAAACAAAACAGAACAAAGTTATTGAAGATGCTCCTTCTTCCACTTCTGAACACAATTCTACGCGTTTCCTCAGATTCTGAATTGCTCGCGAGATGTCCCGTCTTCTTATCTTAGTCTTATCTTAGTCTTATCTTAGTCCTCCTCAGCTCATCGATATCGATCGGTGCAGTTTTGAGAATCAAATGTTCCATACTATTCAATGAATAATAATCCAGCAGAGAGAGATCAGGTGACCACGCTGGCCAACGTATGTCTCCGTTATTGGAAATTAACTTATCAGGGAAAATATCTGCCAGACACTCGGCAACCGTTCTTGAGTCATGTGGATGAGCTTGAGAATGCATTAGTTCTGTTCGCATATTTAATTGAACTGTCAATGTTCAGTTTGATAAAAAAAACTGTTGGCGAAACTTTCAAAGTACCCGCCGCAAAAATGTTTTTTACCTAATTTTGATCAACAGGAAAGATTCGATCATACCATTGCAATCAGAAAAATGAAAAAAATTGAAAAAATGTCCTAGTCAGAAACGTCCAGGTCTTTTAGTTTTCGGTTGAAAACATGAAAACAAAAAATACAAAATTTCGTTTTCTTCAAATTATTCAAGAACTGGAGATGAAACATAGAACTCTCTTGCAGATGAATGTTCAGCATGCGAATGCACACAACTTTGCCCTGATTCAACCGACCTCTTATCTCTTATAATAACTGAGATCCCAGTGATGGAGCTCGAAAAACGGGCACCCTGTATAATTGGTATTATTCTATGTGATGGTAGGGTGAACTTTTCGAACTGCTCTTTATGGAGTGCAACATGAAATTTAACCATTACCCTCTCACATAGTATATCTAGTCTGAAATCTAGAAATGAAAATTGTTCTCACCAACTTGAAGATACCAGGTCTTCAATATTGGTTTATATGGTAATAAGGTAACGGAATGATATCTTCACTATGATATGCTCACGGCGCTCACTTTGTATAGTACCCTTTATTCAGTTGAAAATACACAAGTTCCATTTCAATATTCAATTCATGTTATGAGGCATCGATTCTCGATAGTCTATAAATCTCGAATTGTTGATTATATGTCCAAAAACAAATAATTCGAGAGACATTGGGATTTTCCAGATTTTCCTTGATAGAATATATTGTGGTTATGGCACTTATGTGAGTGGTTGGATCTGCCGCTTGAATTGTTTCCATACAGTTGTTTCATCCTCTCCTCCAATAGGATTGCACCACTTTAGGACAATGACTTTTCAATGATCTTGGATGAAGTGAGGAAGAAGATGAATTTTGGTTGATGATTCCAGTAGGGCCCTTTCAGTACCCGAACTCCGGTAGATTTGAGTCGTTGTTTGAGGGGTCAGAAGAGTTAATTCATTTTACATGATGTTTCTCGCTCGTATTCGAGAGTTTCCATGCTGGTACGACTGGCTGTCTAGAAATCGTCAAATTCTTCAACCAATCAGGACCATCGGAGAAGTCACATGTCACAGAAAATGTGTTTTTTCAATCCATTCCAGAGGTGTGCAGAATCCAAAATAATGAGTAAAATGGTTTAATAGGAGTTTGTTCGTATGGGTTTTCAGCGATCATTTTTTTGGAGCCATTCGCCAGGAAATGTCGACAAAAATTTTTTCACACCGGCCATTGTGAAATTCTAGGAAGCCGACTCAACTTCCAAAGATCTTTGGGGCCAGTTCATCGCCACTCTAGGCAGGAATGATAGCCTGGCTTCAGTTCCTACATGGGTTTTTATGGAGAGTTCTATCCCTCTTCTATCTCATCAAGCCCTATGCATCTAGAGAATGAGGACGTCGCTATGCCAGAAATTTCTCCATGTCCTGACTTCTCCCTGTTTTGGTGCTCTGCAGGGCAATCTCATCTGAATATCGGTAGCAAGACAGATTTTTGTTGGTTCCTGAGTAACAAGGCCCCTCACCAGTTGAGATACCACTTGTAACCCGTTTTGATCACCACTTCATATCTGCAGGTAATTATTTTCCATGAAGTGCAGCATCAGAATATGTGATTTCTCGAAACCTCATTCATCATTTCTCACCATTTTTTGCGTTATATGTCTTCTTCTCAACATATGATTGGCTATTGTTGAAGATAAGGAGCTATCTGAAGCTTCCATATGAGCCCAAGTGGGAATTAGGGGTATATCAGTAGAATTATGCATAATTGATTTGAAGGTATGTGATATCATACAGGGTGTTTCAATAAAACCTGACCCCCTTGCTAGGGTCGGTAGAACACTGCAGAATAAGTTGGGTTTGCTCAGTGAAAAAATGTCTTAACATCATCCGTTTTCATGATACAAGCTGTTGAAAAAATGATTTTTTTACACATTTTTCACGATTATGTCGAAACTACTGGCAACATTGTGATGAAATTTTATACGGTTGTTTCTTGAAATCTGACACATCGCATGAATTTGTTTTTATATCTGACTCTCATAGAGGGCGCTAGTTACACGGTTCGTACAGAGTAGTTTAGAACATAACTTTTTTGAGGTTAGATTTTTCAATCCAAATATGATATGAACTTGAACCTCATTCAATTTTACACCGAAAAGGAACTCCTGGTGAAACTCGATACTATGTTCCGTTTTCGGAATATTTCGATTTGAAAATATTGGAGTAGTATTGATGCTGGCATAAAATTAATTTTATTGAGTTCAATTACCTATTTATTCAGATCCAGAAACAATGGAATCATCCTTGTGCTGAAGTTATTGATGGAACAAAGAATCATAAGTAGAAAATTAAGAGATATTTGACTAGAAACATGAAATATTGAATCAGTTAGATTGAGTGTTCAAAATGTTCTACGTTTCGACGAATACAAGATTTTATATTCTTTTTTTAAGAATGTATTATTTTTCTAAACAGTTGAGGATCAGCTGTTAGGTCATTTAAGTGATGTTCAATCATGTCTTACAACTCTTGACGTGAATTTACCTATGTAGCTTAGACTTTCTGCTGAAGATACAATGAAACTGTGTAATCCATGTTCTCAGTCAAATCTGTTTCGATGTTATTCTTGTGATTCATTGTTAAATCAATAAGTTCAGCATCAGAAATGAATTGTTGTTTTCGGTTCTCAATAAATAGGTGATAATTTTTCATAATACTCGCTTTATTACATAGCTTTATACCAGCAACAGTTATCACTTCATCATTTTCAAATCGAAATATTCCGAAAACGGAACACAGTATCGAGTTTTACCAGGAGTACCTTTTTGTTGTGAAATTGAATTATGTTCAAGTTCACATCAAATTTGGATTGAAAAATCTAACCTCAAGAAAGTTATGTTCAAAACTACTCGGTGCGAACCGTGTAACTAGTGCCCTCTATGATAGTCAGATATAAAAACAAATGCATGCGATGTGTCAGATTCCAAGAAACATCCATACAAAATTTCATCACAATTTTGCCAGTAGTTTCGACATAATCTCGAAAAATATGTAGAAAAATCATTTTTTCAACACCTTGTATCTTGATAACGGATGCCGTAACGAAATTATTTTACTGAGTAAACCCAACTTATTTTGCAGTATTCTACCTACCCTAGTAAGGGGGTCAGGTTTTTTTTGGAACAGCCTGTATATCTAGCTTTCAAATCTTCTTGAACAAATCAAGTTGATACATTTCAACCATTGTCGATCTAAATGAAAACCTAGTAGGCGACCTAGTGCGAGGAATAGCTCCTGCCTACTAACTACCTAACTAGGTTGTCATCTAGAACGACAATGTTTCAACCAACTAGTTTTTCACTCTTTGTGCACATGCAGAGATAGTTTCACTTGACATATGCGCAATAGTGAGGTGAACCTCGTGAATATATC